GTACATCTGGTAGCAAACTAGCTAAACAGGCTACCAAAATCACAAAACAAAAGGCTTCATGCAATTTTTTGCTTTATTTAGCACCCAAGTACTGACGTATCAGCATTTTCATATTTCATATTTTAAGAATGTGTTGTGTCCTATTTGTGGGGTTTTTCTTAATCAGAATCTAAATGACCACAGTTCATGTTTGTTTACCACACTCCTGGCATCAGTTACCGGTACATACCCAACCCTGACAGCCCGTGTGACGTCCCTTACGACAGGTTTGAAGGGCACGGCACTCCTTTGTATGAGAGTTAAATCAAGACAGATTAAGTAGGGCTAGGCAACTGTTTATTGTGATAATATTTTAGGCCAGATTGTCGAGTTCGATGATTCACTAAAACACTTCCTTCAAATTTGATGTGCTACAGAATGACTGTCCGGACTGGAGAGGCTCGACAGACTCTCCTTCACTGCCTAACCCGGGGGAGGAAGAGGTGTTTGCGTGGCCGAGACCCAAGACGGTGCTTCTGCGACGCACTTCCCAAGGCTTCGGCTTTACCCTGCGGCATTTCATCGTATATCCACCAGAGTCAACAATGCACTACTTTCCGGTAGGTTTGAACACTAAAGTAAAGATGGTTTGTCACATATACTGTACTATACTAAATGCGTGCTCAATAACCTGTATCCATGAGCAACGGAGTAACTCTAGTATTTGTCTTTTAACAGGAGGAGGATTATGGCAGAGGTAAGCAAAAAGGCTTGGCTGTTCTTCTTCATTTCTTTGAGGATATTAATAATAAATGTCCACTTTTATGTGCTTTACATGGCATCTTTTGCAGTGAAGACAATGCAACATTTGTGTGTCACTGACCTTTGTTGTATGAGTTGTATTGACATGAAAGGTTTAGTTAGCAGTGCCTTTTTCTGCCCTGCACCGACCAACCTTTACACACTGTTCCACTTTGTTGCTCTTGCTGACTTTGAGTCACACCATAAAAGCTGTTAAAAAAGTGAGGCCCCAGTGTAATAGTTAGTGTGGCACAGATCAGCTGTCCCTTTTAACGGAGACACGTGCTGTTTCTTTTTACACTTTATTAAATACACAACACTTCTCATCTGAGACATGGGCTAATTGTTTCTGTGGGATTAAAACTGTTAATGAAGCCTTTTATAGGCAACACGGCATGAACAAAGAGTCTACTACAATTTTTTTTTTTTTACATCTTACAAAATAAGATGATACATGAATCAGAAAATGAAACAATCAGTTTAAGACATATTTTCTTTTGCTTTAAATAATAGCAGAAGTGATCACAGCATTTTCTTTGTTTTTTAGCTATTTATGAGTAATAACCACATTAAAATGTTTTTTCCCGTATTTTATTTCAACAACTGAAGTTTAGAAACATCCCTTGTGTGCATGTTGTGCTCCCATTTAAAGAAACATAAATGATAAAGCATGGTCTGCTTTTGTCTTTTAGAGTCTTCATTTTCTTCAGGTGAGCTTTATTAGTAGAAATGTAAGAGCAGGAAATGGAGAGAATGTAGGAAAAGAAAGACAACCATAGACCAGTAATATCCTGCTTAACAATCTGAAGATGTGCCCATACATATTTGGGATTCCCCAGATATAATATATATCATGTATTTCCTAAATTTCCTGGAATTCTCTTTTCTCTTGCACTCAGTCTTCCTGTCTGGTTGAGAGTGTTTGTTTGGCACATTAAAACATTGTTTTTAAGTAGTTCACATTATATTAATAATTATCTTTTTTATACGTTAATAATAATAATGATGACAATAATGCAACAGAAATTAACAATCACAGAAGGGAACATGGAGAGTCCATTCATTAGAAAAGCAGAAGACACATGCAGAGCACACATGTTTAAAATTAGCTCACTGTCCTCTGCTAATGATAATCATTGCTCTCATCCAATTAAGATCCTGAAAGGGCTGCATGGAAGGTGCTCGTTCCCCGATTCATTCATTCATTTATAAAACTGCATACACACACACACACACACACATTGTAAAAAGTGTTTTCCCAGACTTGCCCTGAACCACGTACAGATATTGTGACTTGTATATTATACAAAAAGGGATTTTCAGTATGCATATGCCTATGGATTCAAGGGAACATGGAGAACCTTAAGCATGTTGACATTTGTAGCTGCACACATAATGTAAATGTCCTGTTTAATTGTTAAATACACTGCTGTAAAAATACCTACAACACTATAACTCGAAGAATTGTACTGGGACATTTCTGTGTAACATTGGGGCAGGGTCTGTATGCTGTCCTCTGTGTTTTTACTGCTTGCAGGCATAATTGACATGCAGCCTAGCTTCCATGTTGACAAAACAAGGACTGAAGGCTCAAGTGCTCATGCTCACAGTCTTTCAAAAAAATGAATGTGAAAGTGATGAATTACATTTTTTCAGACTTTAAAAACCAGCATACTAATTGAAGCACCGGCTATTTTAGACATGGCATACATCACAACGATGCTGTCACATATAACTTGTGTGTTAGTGAAGTGAATCAATTAGGTTTTTGTCAACAACAATATGAATGTATATATAATTTATTTTCCCAGTGTTCGGGATTTTTGTCTGTGTTTAAAGGCATAGGGGTTAAAATATTTCTAGAGTATTTGTCACTGTTGTTTGTGTGCTCCTCTTTTCGCAAAGCAGTGCCACACAAACATCATTTCACTTATTTAATTAGAGTCTGGTGCTGTTCAAGACAAAGCTCTTCTGTCTTCTGTCTGCACTGAGGTCAAGTTTGGGTGTGCATGTAATCAAATGTTAACTCTAAACTCTATTTTTAAGCTCTTTCTCCCACCCTTAAACTACTGACCGATACAAAGGGAAAAAATAGTTGGAATACATTCAGTTTTTACTTCAAAATGAATAAGGTCACACTTCTGTCACTCCTGCAGCTTGAAATCTTTACCAGTCTTTTCTCTCCCTAGTTCCAAGGGGGTTGGAATACTAAATAGTGAAAGTAATCACTGTGAATATAAATGAAACCTAGCATTTTTTCCTCAGATTAACTTGTATATTTTAAAATACAGTTACTTACAGTATTTATTATTTTAACAAATACAAAACTCTTATCTATATTGGCCCTTTTTGGTTATATAAAATAAATCTGGTATTTTCCAGATGTTAACCATATTTTAAGAGAGTCTGTGGATGGCACAAAGTAATGGAGAAAAAAAAAAAAAAGGAAGTAACATATGTTACCCAGAAAACGCTGTTTATTTTAGTTAAACTCATGAACACAAACTGTGTATCTCCCAGAATCTCTATGGTGGCAAAGGCCAAATCTATGAATCACCTGCTTTTCAAAAAGCCTGCTTAAATGGCCGTGGCCTCTCTCATATGACTTTATAAAAGGATTCCTTGTAGGATGTCGAGTTGCAGTTTCACAGAATGCCACCAGAGGGCGTTGCATAGGACTCGTGTTGTGCTGTTACATAATGATACTCCCTAGTATGCGTTTTCTGCACGAGTAATTCTAATGTGGTGTGGAGAAAAACACGAGTTCCTCTGTGTACGTGTTGTTTACAGTGGTTTTTGAGATTAAGAGACTAATCATCTATATTAGTACTTGGCCTCTCTCTGTTCCTTTCCCAGATCAGTACAGTACAAAGACTTAAATATAATCCAATGTTATTGCAAGGCTCAAATAATTACCTTACTCAATATTTAATGTTTTATTGTGACCAGGACCTTGACTGAGCTTGTCTTAACAATACGTCTGCTCGTGCTGGTTATAACAGTGCATTTTCCTTTATGAAGAAATAAGTTAATCTGCTTTTTTTTTCTGAATCCAGGGCTGTTTCTCAGTTTATAAGGAAGTAGTGGGAGTTGTGCAACTAAGGACAATGTCATTCTACCTTCTCCCAACCCCCCCACCAACATTTCTTTTCTCTTCTTTTTTGTCTGCACTGCGCAGCTGCTAGGAGACAGGAGTAGCATGAACAAACAGGTTTTAGTCTTTAGTTTTCTTTCTATTCACTTCACCAAAACCACACAATTCCACCCTTGGGTTTTTTTTTTCTTTTTTTCTTTTGTTTAAACAAGTTAATAATCGTGACTATTCACGCTGTTAAAATGTGAGCAGTGTCATCATATCCTTTAAACACCCTGTAGTTTCACTTCAGTTCAATTTTGAATATAACAGAAAAAAATAATACTGCTGAGGCAGACAGGAGGCTTACTGCCATTGGACATATAGATTAGTATTTTTAATAAAACGGGGAAGCTGATCTCTATTAGATTGTTTTGGTTTTATGTACCCACTAACACCTACTTATTTCTCCTACTATCAGGAAGACCAAGAAGTAGACTCGAGCCGATGGACACCATTTTTGTAAAGCAGGTCAAGGAAGGAGGTCCTGCTCATGGAGCTGGGCTTTGCACAGGTATACATATAAATCACATAATAAATAAAGAATTTGTCTACTGATCAAAACAAACAAGATTGTGATTTGAATTGGCCCAACACCATAGCTACAGTGGAATTATCAGAAGCAGCATAGATGTATTTTTGCATGTTAATTATTCCATCATTTGGTCGTAGATAAACACAAACATGAACGTGCTGTCTTTCTTGTTTTTAACTACATATTTTTTATCAACATTTTCAGAGTATTTGCTGATCTAACAAAACCTTGTGACCTCATCACAGAGAGAAATATCACTCCCTAATATTCACATTTTGTTTCTGTAAGGTGACCGTATAGTGAAGGTAAATGGAGCCAGCATCATTGGAAAAGCCTATTGTGAAGTGATATCCTTAATACAGGACAGGTAAAATCAAATGCATTTATGGTTGTTATTCTGGACATTCTTTCTTTAACACAGACAAACAAACAAAATGTTTTGTGTTTCCCACCAGTGGTGACATTCTTGAGCTGTGTGTGATGCCAAAAGATGAGGACATACTTCAACTAGTAAGTTTTTTTTTTTTAACTTATTTAATTTAAATGTTTCCATGTTGCCATAACCTTAAAAATAAGTACAGTTTAAAATGTTTTTGTTTTGAAACGCTCCTCTCTCATCTGCCCTGCAAATGTCCATCACACAGAGCTGCTGTACTTTCTTCTTATTAGGACAGTAGTCATAAGATACAGACAAACGCGCTCATCAGAGTTCTCTATCTGGGTCTCATAACCAGGCCAGGGCAATTTTTGTGCTGCAACAGTGTGCTACTGAAACTGGTTTAGAGAACTGGGGGTGTATATAAAGAACTTGCTGGCCATCTTTGCATCTACTTTCCTTTTCCCTTCAATATTGTAATGGCTGGTGGAGAAATTTAAGATTATTATAAATCACATTTAAATTCCTCGTCTGTTATGAGTGACAGAAAGAAAGATAGCACAGAGAGGGGAGAGATAAACGTTCTTCTTATGTTGCCTGTAATGTACATGTTGAATTGAATAGCCAGATTTTACATTTTAGTTTTGATTGACCTCTCAGCAGATGTATCAATACTCTTGGATATAAATAAGACAGTGTAGAGAAAATACCTGTGGATTCATATGAGCCTACCAACAACCAATTAGCAGCTGGCAGTGCATCCTGGACAAAGTGAAGTTGCACTCAGATGCTCCATAACTACAACAAATCATGCTAAGTGCTTTGTCAGGATGCAAAGGAATCCTTTCCCAGGGGCTTCTTGTTAACTGACAGCCTGTGCATGAATTATATAATGAAACAGCTGAGCTGTTTTCTCCACCTGTAGATTTCCCTCGTGTATTCTTTATGGTCTGTATCAATTTAAATAGTCACATCAATGAATTGAGTGGGAGATGGCACGTACAGTAGACTTGAAATGTTGATATGACTCTGGAAACATCAATCTCTCTCTTTAAGCAACATTTCTGACAAAACATAATGCAACAAACTTTAAGTTTAAAGGATGTTTTTTGTTTGCAAATTCCAATTATTTTTGTAATTTCTCGAAATGTTGTCCCATTATTTCCAGTTTAATAAATAGGCTTGTTATCCCTGCAAGGTATGCCCTTCCCTCTGAGTGATTTATCCCTCTGAATGATTTTTTTTCTCTATCAGTCCATGCATGTTGTGATTGTTCTGGTTACGTCAGTGTACAGTAAATGACAAGATACCACATTAACAAAGAATCAGACTCTCTGTTAATGCAGGCAAGCAGAGTAATGAAGCCTGTTTATCAGAATAAGAGGATTATCAGTGACTCAAACAGGAAGACTTCTCACTGTAGGAGGCAGTAAACACTGACTGCTTGGAGACTGGCAGTGGTTGCTTAGCAAAGGGATGGAGAGAGCGAGGGAGCAGAAAAGGGTGGTAGCTGCACACGAGGAAAGCGGGAGGAATATTGAGCAGGGAAGGAAGAGGGAAGAGCATGAATGATGAAGTAAATCCAGTGGATCAGCTGACTGTGTTTGGAACTGGTTGATGCTGAGGGAAAGGGCTGGAGGAGGAAAGAGGGGGAGGGAGAGCCGTACCATCACAGCTGAATGTATAATCAGCAGCTGCTGCTTCTGTCATGTGAGCACTAGCAGAGGGGGGAGCGAGGGACGTAGAGTGGAGGCACCTTGTTCAGTTAGCGTAATATTCACACTGGAGATGGATACAATCAAGGGGATGTAACGGCAGACAGAAAGACAAGCTCTCACCCTCTGCCATCTCACCCAGGACAGACTGGCACAGGCAGGTTGTAACGTGGCAGCCCGTATTACATCTCTGCTCCTTCATCCTTCTTCACTGCTACTGCAGCTCGAGTATATTTTTAGCATGTCAAGTACAGGCATTGCCACGGCTGGTAAACATTCTTTTCTTACCGAATGTCTTTTTCTAAAAATATGATGTGCAGTTTGAACGGTGACATTTTCATTTCTTTCACCCTCTCGCCTTTCATTATACGACTGTCATATTTATTTGAACATGATTTATTGGTAGCCTTATCGTCATAAAACATCTAATCTGTTAAGCATCTAGCAGACTGTGTAGCCCCTTACCACACACGCGATATGCTTTTTCCATATGTTCACGCATGTCATTGTAATCTGTTGTAATGCCCCACACTTGTCATGGTCCAGCTTTGCTGTTGTGTCAAGTGCACAGACCGTAGAAATGGCTGATGCCTTGAGGCTGCAGTACCTGTTAGAATGAGTACTGGAGCTGGCATTCAGCTGGCATCACACAGAAGCCAAGCCTTGCCTTGCTAATGCTCCATGCCTTATGACGTCAGTCTGATAAAAGATTATGGCGACTGAACACTCATGCACACTTAGTCCTGTACTGGGAGTAACAGAGCCTGGCGCTAATTGCAGGTGCACACATAGTTTTATGTAAGGTTGTAATTTGAAACCAGCTTGGAGCTGGTTCAAAGTCCTCATACCCTTACACACCTGCGCTTGATGCAAGAAGAGAGTGTACTAGAGTTAAGTGATGAATAAAGCAAACCGTAGGAGTATGCTGTAAATGGTGGTGTTCTGGTCTTAAAATTGATTCATGACTTTCATCGAGAAAAATGGTGTTTGATTCAGTAAGTACAGACTGCCAGGCGACGGTGGGTCATTAGAAACACTTTTCTGTCCACATTTCTGTCTCTATGTACATTTCTCTCTTATTTCATTTAATCAGTCTTCCTGTGTCTAGTTTAATTTCGGACATGAGAGCCATATAAAACAGTGTTGTATCTGTGAACTAATCCCTTTTACCAGGGCAATGCAACTGCCTTAATGGCACCACCTGCAGAATATGTTAATGACATAAGTTTTTTAACAGTATAAGAATAGTAGGAAACATTTTCTTGAATAAATAGTTTTTCAGATTTATTTTACTCATCACAGTATGATGTGTTGGAGCAATAATTCTCAACTCTGTAAATGTGGTTTATAAAACATGGAATGGCTATGATCTCCTGAGCAGCAATGAGCATTAGCATGAGAACTAAATAAGAAGCAGATGAAGTCCACTGACACCTCTGAACTGCAAGCGCCCACAGACACTCACTCTGGCAACACACACTGCCCACCCACATGCATCAAGTAGCATTTGTAATAACATGCTTGACTTCCCTGTAAAAATCTTGCTGCTCAGTGTTTAAAACACACACCGTATTTGTAACACTGCTTTGCTGCTCTGCCTTTAGGCCTACTCCGAGAATGCCTACGTCCGTGGTCAAAGCTGCTACAGAGGAAATGCCTGTCACATTCCCGAACCACCACCAGTATGCTACCCCCGAGTAGATTGTAAGCCTACTGGCATGGCCCAGGCGACAGACTCAACAGGGCCAGTTTGCCGAGGGCCAACAGCAAGTTCTGACCATGGATACCGCAAGGAAATCACCGTGCCCCTATCTCCTCCCAAATCATACCCAAAAAGCCAGATTGCAGTATGCATGCGTAATGAAGGTGTTCGAACTCTGCTAGTTCCTCCTGATGGATCCCACATGGGGCGCATGGGTCCAACCCAGAGGATTAATAACATAGACCCTGTTTTTGTCAGAGGCAGGCCTGGGTCATTGGCTCATTATCCTCACCCTAGGAAGGCTGACATATACTCCAGTGGCCCAGGAATGGTCCCATATGTGGGCCAGGTGCCACACTACCCAGCCAATCATCAAAACATTGACTGGCGTACTTACCAGACATACAGGGAGTACATTGACAACAAAGGAATCCATTCTCATGGCAGTCGGACTATACAGGAGAGGCTTGACAGTTTGCGAGCTGCCGGTCAGACCAACTTTAATGTCCCTCACCACATTCCCCGGGGAGACTGGGGTCCCAAGGGAGTACGACGGAGGAGCACCTCACATGAACGGTCATACCAAGGACCACCACCCCACTTGTATGTTCCCCCACGTAGTGCCTCACAGGACCGCATGAGTGGTGCAGAGAGGATTAGCCATGTCAGGAACTGGCCCCCTCGAAGCGTATCTCAAGATGGGCTTGTACATAAAACCAGGGCACACTCCTCAGATTACCTTGAGCCTTTAGAGGTGGTTCGAGTCAGTGAGAGGAGAGGCTGTTATGAAAGACCAGATCAAGGTACGAGGCCCAGCAGGCAGTCTATGCCAAGACAGGCCATGCTTTTCAGGTCTACTGGACACGGTGCTGGAATGAGGGGTCCACCCAACCCTTCTCTTTACATAAAAGGACCAGACTCTGTTCATGCTCGCTCTTCACCCATGCTCTCAGACAGACCTCCACATTTTGCAAAAAGCACAAGTGCTGACCATTCTTTTGCTGACCAAAGAATTACAGTTAAAGGAAAGATTTCAGGCCACAAGAGTCAGCAAGGCCAGAGCAGGACACGAGCTGAGACGGTGAAGCATGCAGAGGTAGGGAGAGATGCTACGTTCGTAGGACACAGGTCATCTTCATGCTCTGCGGCAAAGCAAGTGCCCCAACTACCGCCAAGACTGAATCCCCTTAAACCTCCTCCTCAAGGTTCCCAAAATCAGGTCAATGGGCGTAGTCCAACACAGACGGGAGTTGTTCTAAGGGAAAAGCCCCCTTCTGGAAAGAACCCCAGTCCTCTGCGACACCCGTCCTACATCCTGGCTGTCAATGACGACAATGCAGATTCTACAGAAGATGTGGTGGCATGCTGGCTTCCCAACGATGCACGTAGAGAAATACACATGCGCCGCCTTGGGGATCGCCACACCTCTTGTTCCAGCAACCTGGACGAGTCTCTCGATTCCATTCCATTTATTGGTAAGTGAAAAATCAGTTGTAAGCCTTGACAGTCGAAGTTGTCATGGCAACCACCACAGGCAGTAGTAACATAAGGCAGGCAGGCTGTGCCAATGAGCTAAACAGAAAGTCAAATATAGATACTAATGCAAAATGGTTTAAATAAATGGAAGGACTTAGAGGCTAATGACCGATGACCTCATTGATAATGTGAATTAGTGTTTAATTTTTAGTGTAATGTATGTATGTGTTTAACTGTGTTTATGTGTACAGTGTTACAGATTATGTTCATATAGACTGCAAAAAATACCAATAGTTTTGCAGTTTTTGTTTAAGATTTAGGGAATATTACAACAACAAAAAAGACAAAAAAAAAGTTATAATGTAACAACTGACGTATAACTGCCAATAGCCAGTCTCAGATAAACCGTCCTGAAACCATTGTTACAACAAACTCAACAGTTGGTACCATGTCATCAAACAGTTAATGTTCTCTTGGTGACTGCAGAAAACAGACATGTCCAGTCCTGGCAGTACGAGCATGCTTTTACACCACTTCAACCAAAGCCTTGGTGATGAAAGGCTCGGCTGCACCTGCTTGTCCACATGGACACTGATGCCCAAGTTATGGCTCACACTTTCTTTTAATGCCAATGACAATGTAGAATACTCTATTACTTGGCTGGTTACTTCAACACACTTAAATGAAAATATAGACATTTTTGCTGTAACACCACAAAGTCTATGTATTGCAGAATCTAACAAAGTTACTCTTTGCAAAAATGACAGAGGTAGTGGTCGGTAGAGTCCCAGAGAACAGAAACCTCATTGTTATATTTTCAGAACCTCCAGCAACAACCATTTCTTTAACACTGTTGTGTGAAGTAAGACTGCACTTGTTAGATGTCAGATTTGATATTTATCTGAAAAGGGAAACACTGACCCAACTGTCACAGATAGTTTTGAGATTAAATCCAGTTTCCTATGAAACATTCAGACAAGCTGCAGTGATAGATAAACCATAACAGAAATCCATTGAAAGACAAAAATAGTCATGTTCATTTGTTGCAAAAAGGTGATTTTTGCTAAATTACAACTGATTAACAGATCTGTCTAAAAATGGGGCGAGGTTACCTTACATTTCTAGACTTCTAAATGTCGAATTATGCATTGCTTTTTAGGAATATTTTGAATACAAAATGTGAAATAACATAATGTGGCAAAATTTGCAAAACAAACACTTCATCTTTTTCTAAGCCAAACACCAAAAATCCAAGCACAGTCTGTATGACTTCCTGCAAAAATGCTGTGTATTCAAGGAAACTTTGAGTCATATTCTTCCATCATTTTCTGATGACTGATTGCTCAAGAATATTATTGGCAGATTACTCTGATGAAAAAAAAGTCTGTGCTAGTCCTTGTGAGGGAGGTTTGACATTACTTTTTAATTTAAAAAGAAAACGTTGGTAACCGTTTAGCCTGTGGAATCATTTTTAAACATGTTTAATAGATAGATAGTTCGATAGATAGATGCCGTTCACCTGGTGTGACTTTTAAAAAGTTAAGAATTTTGACATCTGAGTTAAGTTGTTTCACCTGAAGTGTTTCTGCTTTCTGTTAGCAGTCAATGTGTGATGTTGGTTATTAACAAGCCCAGAGAGTCCAGGTGCAGACAAAGCAGGCAGTCACGGTGCATCACTGCTGCCTTGGCCCAGGAATACAGCGCCATGATTTGACAAGAGTGTTGTAATCAAGAGTAACAGTGATCTGTAAAGTTTTTTTTGCTTCACAGAGACTTTTCTTTTTTTTTGTCCTATTCTACATGTGTAATTTCCATTATGGTTTTGAGGTCTGTTTTGACTTGGCAAAGATTACGTGTTCCGTTCCGCAGAGACCACTTTGCATTCTTTGAAGCTGTTATCCTAATAAGTTATCAATGACAGTGTTTGTTGTGAATCGGTCCCTTTTAGAGTGTTTGGTGACACGCTTTACTTTGCCCTGTTTCAAAGATAGTGTGCAGGCTGGAACTAGGACAGTTCCTATTAATTTTAGCTCCAAAAGCGCCCCCTCATTCTCTCCCGCCCCCAGCTGCAGAGTAGCTTTGTACTGAACAGTTTCAGGCAATAACTGCCAGGAATGGGTGGTACTAAGAAGTACTTGTCTTTCTCTCTAAGAAATTCAACTCTGAAACTGATCTGTTCCCACTCCAAGCTGCATTTTGGCACTGCACTCAGGGGAATTACACAAAGGATTTTTTTTATTTTGTGCCTTTACCGGAGGAACAAAGTTAATAGATGTCTTAATATAACAACATTTTTAGTGAGGCACTGGGTATTAAGAAAAAGGGCAATACTTTATTACAGATGTTCTGTACTTATCTTTAAAATGTGAGCTGAATGTCATCACAGTGCTCTGACAGTCATATTGTCCTCACATTGTCCTTAGATGAACCAGTCAGCCCCAGTGTCGACCAGGAAGCTGCTCCTATTCCACCCTCCGCAGTGATATCTGTTGCACAATCTGCAACTGCAGGCCCCTCAAGTTCAGCGTCACCTTGCCCTACCATTCGTCGGCAGCTATCACATGACCAAGGTAAACTTTTTAAGATAGCTGTGTAAAATCTGGAGCTACTGTTTTTTTAGCGTCTTTTAGTCAAAACTTTATTCCTATGTGGGTTCTTCTTTCTTATATTCTGACTTGATGTTCGGTTTTTTATTTGAAACACAATATCTGTTGACAATTTACTGTTGATACTTTTTACTACTCTACTAGGTATGACATATTATTGACATATTAATGTGTGCAATTACAGTAAAGGAATCTCAATCAGATTAATAAATACATTAAAATGACTAAAACAAAATTGACGATTTTTCTACAATTATTTATTTTTAGCCCATTTACTACTTACATAAGTAATTTGTAACTTATAAAAAACTTGACATTTAATTTTTCTTTTTGTTAGAGTCTCTGCGAAGTGCTTTGCTGGAATCTGATACAACTAGTAAAACAGAGCGGTCCAAATCCTATGATGAAGGTCTTGACAACTACCAAGAAGAAGTCAGAGGGTGGGTGCAATTCAGTGCAAGGTCGTTGCTTTTATATATTCATATGTCTGTGTATTCATCTTAATCTATTCTATCTTTTGTTTTGTTTTTAGGAGATCCTCAAGTAAACACATGCCTAGTCTCAGGGGCATAAGAAAGGTAAAAGTCAAAATAAAATAAAATTTCCACTTGCTAACACTCAGCACTTAACTTAATGTCACATCTGAAGATAAAAACACTGTTTTTATATATTGACAGGCCCTGGATGGACATAAATTCACTGGGGATTCTGTATCGCGAAGGGATTCCTCAACAGATATATTTGCAGATTCTTCCAAAGAAGGGTTGCTCAACTTTAGGCAGTTTAGCACAGATAAAAACAAGGTACGTAGACAGGCGTCACTGCACTAATCATCTCATTTTCATGCTCTGATTCCAGCAGGTACAGGAAAGATTATCACATATTTTAGTGTACATTTTTAAATCCAGTTTTTCATCTCTCATCTATGTAGCGTGTCAGTGGAGGAATGAGGTCCTGGAAGCAGATGTATGCTGTTTTACAAGGTCACACCCTGACCTTTTACAAAGACAGGAAGGACGCACTTGCCCATGCTTCGGCACCGTCTGATGAAGAGCCTCTTAGAATCAGCATCAAGGCCTGTCTGATTGACATCTCCTACAGCGAAACCAGGCGTAAAAATGTGCTGCGACTCACCACCTCAGACAGCGAGTACTTGTTCCAGGCGGAGGGGAGGGATGACATGCTGTCCTGGATAAAAGTTATACAGGAAAACAGTAACCCAGATGAAGAGGTGTGTGTTTTGTGTTCAACATAGTAGCTGAGTCAAGATAAGGCATTTAAATGGTATATTAGTCATTTAATCCGGTCAAAGGACACAGTGATTCAGACATACTGCTGTCAGGTGTACACAGTATGGAGTTGTTCTATAAATTGTCATTTATAAATGTGACAACAGGATAAAAACATTCAAAGACAGGTTGAATTAATAAAAGATGTATTGAAAAAAAAAAAAGAAACTTTGCAAATGGGAAAAAAAACTAGTTCATATTCAGCACTTTGATAGTAATAAAATCATGTAGTGAAGGTGTGGTGGATATTTGCATGTCACACGGCTCTAGAAAGGTTCTTTATGTGTCATTGCATTCGCGTACACCAAAATTGACGTTGTGTTTTGAGTAACAAGTAGAAGAGCATAGCTTACCTTCAGACATAAATAACTAATAAAGTTACATGTATAGAATATTATATATATTTATATAGTCATATCATATTATATTGTTGGTGGTATTTTGGCTAAAAGTAACGTAAAACTCCTCAAACACTGACATTTGGCTTCTGTTCAAGCGGTGTAAATAACACTTCAGTGGTCATGCTATGAATTGATTTATGACTTGAATTATATAATAGATGTCATGTCTTGTAAATAGTAGATCACTCAGATTTTTATGTCATTGTAGAACTCTGCTGTGACAAGTCAGGAACTGATCAGTCGGAAAATCAAAGAATACAACATGATGAGGTACGCTGAACTTCACACCCTCCCTCTTTAAATTATTTACTACACGCCACCATAATGCTGAAATTGCAAATGTCTGTGTCGCTTTGTGTGGGTCAGCGCACCCAGCAGCAGATCCGAACCTTCCCCCAAACCCTCCCGACAGTCCCTGAGCATCAAACAAGCCTTCATGGGAGGTAAAGAAGGCAAGGCCCACAGCCCACATTCACCTAAAACAGGAGAGGAGCGCAGAGCACTGAAAGGTAGATGGCGGTGATGTTTCTGATGAAGTAAACAGTGATAATTGCACCTGACTAACTTTCACATATACACATCACGTACAGATGACTCCAGCCCACCGAGGGACAGAGGTGCTTGGAAAATTGGTATACCAGGAATTATCAGGAAGCCTTTTGAAAAGAAGACTCCTGCTGGGGTCACTTTTGGGGTTCGGCTTGATGACTGCCCCCCTGCACAGTCTAACAGAGTGAGCGCCCATCTTTGTTTATGTCAATTTAAACCCCTTTTTAGACCAGTTTAGAGTTTTTTAGAAAATTTCTCCTGGAAACATCAAACATTTGTCCTGACCACCACAGTTTGGAGTTTCTTCTTCTGAGAACCTGTGTGTTTTAGGTATCAGATTTTCTAGGGATGAAACACGTTGGTGAAAACTTGATTATGCCCAAATTGAAACGTTGGCCGGTGGCATCAGGACTGGGTAATTTGGAATTATTTAAGTGCACATAATTAAATAAATTTCCACGATAAAAATAAAGTACCCTACTTTGACTGTAGGGGGCATGTCTTTTATGACATATAACTGCATACAAGTTCAGTATACATTAGTTGGTCTCTTACCTAACAAATCTGCTCGTTTCTGTGCAGTTTGTGCCTCTGATCGTGGATGTGTGCTGTAAAGTGGTGGAGGAGCGGGGTCTGGAGTACACAGGGATCTACAGGGTTCCTGGAAACAATGCTGCCATCTCCAGTATGCAGGAGGAGCTGAACAGCAAAGGCATGAATGACATTGACATCCAGGAAGATGTGAGTGACTGACAGTTCAGTTTATACGGGGCATTGTCTATTCAGTGACTGACAACAGTGATTAAACTGCACTGTAAATACTGCCTTAACTTGATGCTATTCTGGTCTCTGGCTCCTGCAGAAATGGCGAGACCTGAATGTCATAAGCAGCTTACTGAAGTCCTTTTTCCGTAAACTTCCAGAACCTCTGTTCACAAATGGTAGGATCTTGCCAAGTCGCCCCAAATATCTCCTATAAGTCCGACAAATCTCTCTGTTTTCTATAAATGTTGTCTCATAATTTAACAGAAAAGTATGCAGATTTTATTGAAGCCAACAGAACAGAAGATTCAGTGGAGAGATTAAAAGAGCTCAAGAGACTCGTAAGAAAAGTCTTGGTGTTTTATTAAATCGGATTCTTATAAAACAACCAACAATTAATAAATACAGTTTCTAATCTTGTCCTCTAACACTGCTAATTATTCTGTCTCAGATCCACGAGTTACCGGATCATCACTATGAAACCCTGAAATTCCTCTGTGCTCATCTTAAAAGGGTTTCGGAAAACTGTGAAAAGAACAAGGTATGGCAGAGACATTTCTTCACTGTTTCTACGCTGTAAGTCCTGCGTAAACTCCTTCACTCCTCAACCCTCATCTTTTCAGATGGAGCCCCGGAACCTGGCCATAGTGTTTGGTCCGACATTGGTCAGAACCTCGGAGGACAACATGACCAACATGGTCAATCACATGCCAGATCAGTGCAAAATAGTTGAAAACCTCATCCAACAATATGACTGGTTCTTCACTGATGATGGTGACGAAGATCCTGTCGTAAGTAGCTGTTAGTTAGAATTTCTGGGGCTCAATAAAATAATAACCAATGGGTTTGCCATCACTGCTTGGTTGATTTTTGATTTTTTTTAAAGATGTATATTTTACCCTAATTGAAGTCATTTTTCAAGTTGAAATTTCTTGCAATGTTTTGTTTTGTTGTATATGAATAAACAAAAGTTTACCCCGACAATTCTTTTAAAAACTTAAAATATTGTTCAGTGTTTACGGTGTAGCTAATCTTTAATTATATACTTGAAAGAAAGAATTGTAAAGTTGAAAATACCTATATTATATAATACCATGTATGTGTTTAATATATTTAATATTTATGCTCTTCATATTACCTTGTAATACTTTAAAAATTGTATATTTTAATATGATCAGTCTGCTTGTTTGTAAACAGAACCACATACAGACTGTGTGGTATTCCTCTCAGTACTCCAGGATTGAATCACTGTTTCAGCTTGAATTACAGCAAGTCACATTATTTGTGGTTATATTTTCCCCTAAGTATGTGTTGTGGTCAGCCATTTATCTTCCCTCATCTCTCGCTTTCTCTCATCCCTAGACCACAGCTGAACAGGAGAGCACAGTACAGTCTCAACCTGTGCCCAATATTGACCACTTGCTTTCAAACATTGGCCGCACCGCACCATCACCAGGCGAAGTCTCAGGTAACGTTGCGGAGTTGTTTTCTCCGGCTTTATCGCTGCACCAGAGTAGATGATTATAACTGGGCATTTATTCTGTATATAGTTAATATCATTACAGCACTTTATGCTAAACTGATTTGTTGTATAGACATGTTAATATTTTAGGTCAAATGTCAGCTGTGTCTGAGACACGTATGTTAAGATGAGGAGCATCCAGCTTGTTTCCTTGACCTTTTAATGCTTAAACATGCTGATTGAATTGATTTATTTATTTTTGAAAGGCAGGCTTTTTCAGTAATTTTTATTTAAAAATTGTTGAAAAATTCTTTGCCTTTTTTTGCACCCCAAATTCTTTTTTGTTTTTGTATTAATTCAGTTTCATTTTGATGTTGGCATTTTTTTGCCCAAGAAGAAAAAAAAATGTCCTTCTGCTTTTTTTTCGTTCATTTCTTTGCTTAATTTCGTTTATGCTCATCATTTTCTCCCTGTGCTTTATTTGTGTTGAGAAGACGACTCCTTTTCTTTCAGTTCTTTTCTTCCCCTCCTCCTCGTCTCTTATATGATCCCGGCATGTTCTTTCCCAAGGAAAGTCTAACAAACGAAAAAAAAAGTTTTAACTCTACTGACCTCTGCCCTTCTGTGTGTAGTGTTTTTTGTCCACTATCCCTGTCCAGCACTCATATATTACCCAATCTTGACACAGGCCAAGTGGGCGGCGTCTATCACTCGATGATGTCACTGATGGACTCTGTTTTGTCAGTGATGGACAGCTGGGACTGTAGGAAGAAGGACGAGTGTTGTGCCCAGTGTAGCTGCCTAGTCTGCAGAAACCCACAGCTCTTTTAAATTTGGGCAAAAAGGAGGAAAAAAGATAAAAAAGAAAGAAGTCGGTGTTTGTCATTTTTCCTGTGGTGTGCACGTCTCATATTTAAACAAATTACCCTGAACTGAGGGGATACAGAGCCATGCTGCTGTATTTTCTCTGAAAGCCCTTCTGCTGTCTCTTGTTGTCTCTTAAGCTGATCGCATGGACAAGTAGCATGGTAGGGTCAACCTCAGGTTCTCTCCTGGTCATGTGGCATAATGTGTCATGATGTCTGAGGGTGGGGTACGTAATGGGGCTGAGCTTGATGTTCCCCAGCACACAGTGTTCGCACCACGGAAGACTCACACATACTCACACTGTAGACTGACTTAGGTTCGTAGTAATTGATGCTGGTAAATACACAAGAGTGGATGATGATGTAGTAGGCATTTTATTTTTTTAAGATATTTGTAAGATTCTTCTATATTATTGTTTCTGTTCTTGTCACTGTTTAAACACGTATGTCCACTCAGGTCAAATCCATTTGAATTAGGCATTTTAAATAAAAATAAAACAAAAAGACAAGGCAGATTTTTTTACTTAAATTTTTTTTGTCTTATGTGCTGCTGAGAGCTGAGACCTAGAGGCACTGCAGTAGATTTTTTTATACTGTTTTGAAAGCAGTCTGTATCTGTTATCTTTTTGCTGCTGCCACCTCTATCTATCTGCATCTATAGCCACAGCACAATCACTGATCTGTTCATCGTAAGCCCCTCAGTCTTCCAGTCAGTCATCACTATCTCTCCTCTTTGTTGTCCATTGAGTTGGGAAAGAATGCCCACAGCTGGTTGGTGGCTAAATGTGATGCTCTGTGACTGACGTGTTTGTCCGTGATGTGCCGTCGACCCATCGATACACGAGCATGAGCTTCTTATTTTGTCTTGGTTATCTGCCGGGTTTCCACCACTTGTCCTCATCTGTCATCGCAGGCCTCTTCCTTTGCCTTGTCCACTCTTCCATATACTGTGTAGTATAGTGTGGATAGTTGTTTTCTCGTCTGTCTATGTCTCTGATTCAGAATTGTCTTCTGCTTTCATCAGGCTTTTGTCATCTGTTTGTCAGATCTACTCCGAACAATCGCTTATTCTTTATCCTAGTTGACTTTAATATACATTATAAATGTGACTTATTTTCTCATGACTTCTTTAATGCAGATTCAGCATGCAGTGACTCCTCCAAAGGAAAGGTAAAGCTGTTCCTTTTGGTTGTTTTTTTTTTAGCTTACTACTTAGTCTCTAAAAACACTTGCCATTGTTGAGTGTTCAAGGTTGTTTTGGTTTTGTCTCAGCAGGGCTTGTGGGGATCAGGGAAGGACCAGTGTAGCAAAGAGATGCTGCGCTCCTCCTTCTTTGTCAGCCGCAAACGCAAGAAGTCCAAGGACAAAGTTCAACCCAGCAGTTCAGACGACGACCTAGACTCTGTTTTTCCCAGGAAGGAGCTCCCGCAGGGTAGTCAGCAGCAGCCTCTGTGGTCCACAGGCAGTCGGACTGATGGGGAGGGGGAGACTGATGAAACCAATGAGAAGGAAAAGCTCAGAGACAGCTCGGAGGAAATGCTGGACAACACCGACCGGAAAGAGTCTCTGTCCTGCAGCTTGATGTTAGAGCCATCCACACCTCTGCACCAAGAACACATTTCTTCCTCCGTTCAAACCGGCTCCCCCTACAACTCGCCCCCACATTCACCAAACCTCAGTTACCGTGTGCCAATGATTCTCCAGTCCTCCCTGTCGGACCCAACCTCCAACTACGAAGACACAGTGTCTGACCTCGGTACAATGAACAGCACCAGCTCCCAAGCCTCCGTGCCAAGGCTGAGGCACGCCAGAATGGTGCCACTGGGCCCAGAGGTGGGACCCAGCAGCCTTGGAGCAGAGGTTTGCTCCATCACCTCTGACTACTCCACCACCTCCTCCATGACATTCCTGACCGGAGCAGAGTTCAACACCCTCAGTCCCGAAGTGCAATCTGTAGCTGAGAGCCGCGGTGGAGATGATGCAGATGATGAGAGAAGCGAGCTGATTAGTGAGGGGAGAGCGATGGAGACGGATAGTGAGAGTGACCTGTCTGTGTTCACTGTCGGCAAGTTGGATCACAGAGAACAGCAGGAAGCCCCGCGGCCTCTCGCCTCGCACAGACTCATCGAATGTGACACGCTGTCCAGAAAAAAGGCCGCCCAACAAAAAGCCGGCAGCGAATCGTCTTTGGAGGGAGCTCGGAGCGATAAGGATTCAAACAGACTGTCACGGGTTTTGGGGTCAGTTAAAGGTCGATCCACCAGCAGCCTGAGCTCTTCGTCTCGTAACGACTTAGATAAGACTGAGCCTGCATGGAAGCTGAAGATCACCGACCGGTTGAAGGTGCGTCTGCGCACGTCTGTGGATGACATGTTTGGAGTGGGCAGCCAGAAAAGCCGGTCTCCTGAAGGCCGCAGTAAAAAGAAGAACATTAGACGCAGACACACCATGGGCGGGCAGGGAGACTTTGCAGAACTGTCTGTGCTGGGAGACTGGCCTCAGCAGATTGGCACTCGCTCTGAGCTGTCCGCTGTGGACCGACTAAAACCAAAGTGCAGCTCTCAAGACTTCTCCATCGGAGACTGGATTGCTCGAGAGCGCCACCGGACCAGCAATTCAGAGGTCAGCCTGGAGTTTTCTGAACAGCAGGGGGCGATGGGAAGCCCAAACTCCCAAAACCTTAGAGCCTCTTCCTCCTCTTCTGAACTACCACATCGTTCAGCTGAAGCTGTCAATGGGGAACTTGCACCGAGTAAAAATCTGAGCCTCTCGGCCACTGCTCACCCACATAAACTTACCAGTTCCCAGGTGGTCCACTCACGGTTCTATCAATACCTGTAATGTGATAAAAAAGTGTGATGGTGTTTGTTCTTCATCTGTGAGATGTGTACGTAATTGGGAGTCTGCCAGTATAATGTCTCTGTGACCAATGACACGAATGAGCATGTTGTATAAAAAAATTGTTCGGCGAATGTGTGTGTGTATACATGTGTGAGAGAGTGTGTTTGTCAGTACACGTGGTGTGAGCGCTTGTGAAAGGAGAATAATTGTACACAGGGATCGTTGATCTTGCTCATATCTAAGGCATGGAACAAGTAATGTTTTTAACTTTTTTATTTTTTTTTTAAATGACATTTGACTTAGTTGGTCAGCAGGAGGCGCTTCTTCCTAACGTGCCTCCCTGTTATACTAAAGATAGAAAAGGACCTGTTGCTGGTGGGAAAAAAATGGCCCTGTGAAATGTGTAGGGATCCAAAGGAGTGAAGACTGTTGTAGAGGTTTCAGTTAAAGTGGCTTTAAGGATGATCTGACTCGTAGGACAGTAGTGAAAGAAAGTTTGCAGAGGAATTATTTTTGTGGCAAGAGTTTTAGTTCTCAAGTTGGTGAGTCTCTCAGTAACCAAATGAAGAATGTACAGACGTGTTTGCTGTTAAACTGACTAAAAGCTTTAGACGCTTGTGTTTTGACTTTTAAAGTGTACATATCCCTATTTTTCTGTGTACTTGAATAGTTTTTGGTACAGCCTGTGTGCGGAACTGCTCACCAGCTCTCCGCTTTTATCGGGGCCTTCTTAAAGGTACTGGAGGAGACGAAGGCGACACTGGTGTTATGCAAATGTAGGGGGAAAAAATGGACGGACAGGTATTCTTCATCCCAGCTGTGTTGGTTTACAGAGCAGTGAACAACATCCCTTTGATGCAAATGTTGACGCTGTGCTTCGGTGTGTGTGCGTGCGTGTATGTGCAGTTCGTACGTCTCTCAGTGACTGACAGTGAGTTGCAACAAGAGAAAAAATATATATTGGATTATGAAATATATTTCAACAAAAACACCTTCTTCTTCATAATAGGAAGTGCCTCACAATGACATGTCAAGGGTGCCATATCGTCTTCGCTGACAAACACAGAGATGTTATAGTTGATGACATTTTTATGGTCGTTGACCGTCATTCTACAGGATCTGTAACAAAATGCCGAGCTTCCATTCCTTAGGCATTCCACTCTGGTCTTAATGTTTTATACTTTTTTCTTCCCCCTTTTCCTGTTTTTCAGGTTTTTTTTGTTTCCTTTTAATAGAACTTGAATTTTTAAATATTCCTTGTAAAATAGGTAATTGAATTTTAAATATTCCTTGTAAAATAGGTAACTTAAATGTACATATAAATGCCATGTTTTAGCTGCTTTACTTGACATTTCCATCAGATTGCAGGTTTGAGTACAGTATTGAGAGATGGTTCTGAGGCCTGTGTGGATGTTGCGGTCAGTTATGGTACTTCTCAGAAAGAGACAAAAGAAGGTCCCTGTGTTCCACTTTGTTTATTTGGACCATGTTCCTCTGACTGTGAGAGGGTGTGCGCAGAGTCCTGAAACACTGGAAATAAATTTTGTCAATGGCAAACTCCTCTTTTCTGTTTGTTTACATTTATGTACAGGGATCGGTGTGAAACTGTATTATTTGTATTGATATTTTTTGTCATCATATATTCTAAATGTCCGCAGGCCACCTGTGCCCCAGACACCACCCCAGAGTGGCCCAGTCAGTGGTCCTTTAAGAAGTGAGCTCCCGGAGGTGAAATTGCAATTGGTGAGTAATCGGAAGTCCCTACAGAATACACACCAAGAACGCAGCCTAGAATATATGGAACCCATAACGTGCGTCTATTAGGCGTGTCACAAAGGGTCAGCTGTTCAGCAACATGTCATTCTCAAAGCAGAAATGTTAAATTATCAATTGGAACCAACAGCTTAATTCTCCATGGACTGACATTTAGTCTAAGAAGTGTTAAGTACTCAAAATATCCTTACAACCATAATGCAACATAAACTTTTATTTCATGAGACTACCTGCAAGGAGCAGTGCATGTTGTAAGTTTGTACAGAAAGATAGCAACATGAAAACAAATTTGAGTTCTTGATCCTAGGGACTCAGATGTTTTCTTGTCTTCCTACTGTCAGTGACATGATATTTGAAGTGTGCTTAAATTCTCCATTGATGTGGAGGAAGGTGACAAAAGTCACAAAGACAACCTTTCAAAATGCTTTATATACAAGTTGCACATACAACATAAAGACTTAAACCATTTTAGGATTTATACACTTTGTACATCAGCTGACTAGAAATCACAGACAATACCAACAGAAGTGACATGAGAGAAGAAGAGTCAGGCCATTTAACACACACATCAAAGAAAATCAATAAATGATGAAGGTATAGCGGCGGTCACTCTCTGGTACGCAGGTCTGGTGGGTAAATATGAGAAGTGCAGTTGCAAACTAAACATTCCTAATAGTTTCACTATGATGCGGTCATTCAAGTCGTTTTTTTGTATCCAGTCCTTTTCCTCTTCTAAGATTAAACAAACCCCACCCTGTTTTTGTCATCCAGCTGTTAGCTTTTAGGAAAATGAAATCATGATCTGTGTGCGAGTTAGAATGTACAGTTCAAATAAGTCTACACCGTATTTACTCATTTTCAGCGTCATGTGGGCTGCTAACACGGACATCTCACCCACAGTAAGGCACAGTGACGAAAACAGTTCAATCCAGATTTACAGTATGAGGAGGAAACAATTTCATATTGTTGTTTTAAATATTCTGCCCTTGTTCTGTAAATGAATGATTCACCCAGACATTGACTTGTAACTATCGTAAGAACACTGAACAGAGAAACAAGTAGCTGTAGTCATACTTATGAACACAAGAATCAGTTGGCAAAGGTTTGTGGGAAACTGTCTTTCAAAGGTTAAATCTCAATGCGATTAACTGACTTTTAACAGGATGGAACTTGGGCTGCAACATGTTCAGTAATATTAAGGATGAAAACACACTGTCCTGCTGTATTTTTGTTGTTCTTTCAGTTGTCCACCAGAGGGAGCTCTAGTGGTCACTGCACTAGTTCTACAGAGTTTTATGGAGACCACGTTGTGAGATGAGGCTCGGATTCCTGTTTGCACTTTAGAGAGTTGGGCTGAAATTGTACACGGCTGCAGGTTTTAGAGTTGACTGGGTTTCAAAGATTTCTTGCATATTATGCTGAGAGGTGAGTGATGGAGGTGTGTGGCTGCTCAGTGCCGCAGATTTAACTGCTGTCCTCTTCCTCCTCGTCATCGTCATCTAGAAGGACCTCGGGAACCCGGAAACACTCCTCAAAGAAGTTGACCAGAGACTGGCTCAGGTGCTGCCGTGTCCCGTCACTGTGGAGAAAGTGTCCTTCATCTGGGTAGATCTGCACAAGTGAAAAGAAAATAAAGATAAGTAGTAGAGATGCAGGTGAGGTAAATTTTGTATTTTTATTTTTTGCAAACTTTAAAAAAAGTTAAGTTCATTAGCATATATATTTAGTTAGTGTTTACTGCCCCCTGTGGCAGAAACATGTCTGTGTAGTCCATCGCAGAAAAGGGATTTTATTTTATAATTTAACGAACGTCACTCTAACCTCTCATCTTTGTCACATATAACCTACCTGCTCTAGCCATTGTAAATACAGAGATTCCATCACGGCTCACCTGCAGAGTGTAGTTTGCTTTGTCACTAATTAGGTGGTTGATAAATTTGGCCGTGTGCTGGAAATGAACCTTTTCTGTAGTGATGGTGAGGAAAGAGAGAGTGACAGAGAGAGGTGACAAATATATTAGATGCCAGTCACAATATTTTATGCTCTGCAGTGCTGAGGAAAAAAAAATTTCATCACCATCAGCAGTTGGGTGAATTATCAAGTAGTTTTTTTCCAAAAGGCGACCGGCTCTGTGTGCTAAATTTGCCATCTGCGAAGAAAGAAAATAGGAAATGCATTATTTCATCTCTATCTTAACTAAGACACGTGCTCTTTAAACACTGTAGGAGAATTTACCGTATACACCCTGGAGTCGGTCTTTAAACCAAGGTATCGTTCAGAAAATGCAGATGCTGGCATTTATCAAAAAGACGGAGAGAAATTGTAAATTATGAAAACATTTCTGTTCTTAATAAAATCTCACTGAAAGATTAAAAGAAATTAAAAAATAAAATAAAATATTGTACCATAAAGCTCAAAATCTGTGATGGGGGAAACTGCGGCTCCACACTTCAGTTGAGTAAAATCATCAGAGCTCAAGAGCATTGTGGATAAATAACCTCCATAAGCCTGGACACAGGGAGAACAGGCAGAAAAAGGCCTACTGTCACACACTAATGACTACGTACTGACTGTGTGTTTACTCTGCCTCTTTGACACGCCATCTTACCTTTCCATAGACACCCATCCGAGTCTTATCAATGTAAGGTTCTTTGGAAATGAACCTGAAATTGTTAGAAAGTGGGTGAGACTTCAAAAAATAAATAAAGCAAGTTTATGCCCCGCCCACAGGTGATGTCAGGACTCCTACCTGAGAGCCTCCATCTGGTCTCGTTCGTCTAATTTTCCCAGCCTTCGTCTGACTTTGTGGAGAAGGTTTGTGCCACGAAATCCACTGCCGTGACCATCGAAGCGGATCACAATGGTGCTGAAGCTGCTGATCAGAACTGTGTCCCAGTCCACCTGGAACCTCTCTGTTACCATCTGACCACCAGGTGTACCATCCCTGTGGGAAGAGTGATGAGAAATTGTATAAAAGGTTTGTTTTAAAAAAAAATACTTTTCTCAGAAAAGTGCTGTATTATGCTTTGGTGGAACTATGCTTCAATTGATTAATTCAATTAATGGGAAACTTTTTATAACTTCTTAGCAATGAATGATTCTAATGTAATTGATTTTTCTGCTTACTTCGAAAAATTGTTTATTGAATTGTTGAACTGTGGGTTTTTTTCTGCACTATATTTTTTATGCGGGGCCGGATCATGGGGGCAACAGTCTGAGCAGGCCCGGCCACGGATAAGTGAACGATGATGGATGGATGGATGGATATATTTTTTTATCTTTTCACTTTTAGCTTGGAACTTGATGCATTCTCTCATACATACACTAGAAGCAGTAAAGGGTAATGTGCAGTTTCTGTGAATCCAGCCGGCTTCAGAATCTGCATGGTCAGAGCTGCAACAGACATGAGACAGTCGATGGTCATGTTTATTCATAGAAATATGTATTCAATCATTTATTAATATGAATAAATGAGCACATATACACATATATATATACATATATATTAAGCAGACAGCAAGAATGTGGGACGTACTGTAGTCGTCTATGGTGATGGTCTTGTACTCCGCCTTGGGCATCTGCATGTTGTGGTATGTGTGATTCACTCTTGAGTTTGTCTCCACCTCAAACACCTCTGCAGCAAAAGAGAAGTTGGACACTTGGTTTGAATTGTATCATACCGTACTGTTTCATACCGCATTGTCAGAGGTGGAAAGAGTACTAAAACATAAAGTATTTATTAATTATTGCATTTATTTATTTATTTAATATACAGTAGTATAAGCCAATATAAATTATTACATATGCATATATATAATTATTATATTATATTATTATATAAGACTATTTAAAGAACAAATCATACTAATGACATTCATGAGAAGTGAATTCCTGATCATTCTCCTGTTTAAAGTTTTACAACAGTGCTTTGAATGTGATGAGTTACTCAGTACTGCAGGGAGTATCAGGGAATACACCTGGGGAAAAAACTACTCGGGGAATGCGTTTATTGGTTATAAAGCATTTAAAGCTTTGGGTTTGACTAACTGTCCTCTTGATCAATCCTTTATTAAAAACAACGGCATGAAATAAAACAAATCGCTGCTGCGCACTTCAGCTGTCGGACCAATCGTGCTGGTTTCCGCTACTGAAACGTCACAAAGATGCAGCGGAACAGGGGGAAAACAACCCAAAAGGGTTGCGGTTTAAGACGTCAGAGGTGGAGAAGGATCACCGCGTGTTTAATATACCACAGGTGACCGGAGTTATTGTGAATTGGCAGCTCGACCTGGTCGGAGTGGACGGCACAGATCGAAAGGTGAGAGAAGTCTCTATTGTTGACGTTTTTACCGTTTTTTCTATATAACTGTGACTTCACTTAAAGTTGAAGAAACCCTTGATTTGTATTGTTCTTTGCAGAAACTAGTTGAAAATGCAGACCCACGTGTTTGGAGAATGTGTTCACGCTTTTAATCACTTTGCACCGTGTTTGGCCGCTGTGCTGCCCCCTACCGACCCCCCCCCCCCCAACGGAGCATTGCCACTGTGCCATCAATGCTGCATGACGGTTTTTTAATGTTTTAAAATGGTAATTTTAAAACATTAAAACACAGTGAACACAGGCTCAAACATGCAGAGGCAGGAATTTCAAAGGGCTGAATTGTTTTCCCCACATGCATACAATAAATGGATGACACTTACTCTGTTTGTCCACCGTTCTGTAGATAGCCACACTCGGGACATCAGGGCCTAAAAAAACATCATCCACACACAAACTTAATTGATTACATGACAACCCTGTGAGAACACACTATAAAAAACAAAGGGTAGGCATGAACTACCTTCTTTCTGCAGAAGTCATCACAGTCTTATCTCCCACTACCTCAGGGACAGGCTTCTCAGCCACTCTCTCCATACCACAACATGCCCCCCCCCCCAAAAAAAACCCCACATAAACCCCACATCTTGGTTTGTGAGAAACTTCACCAACAAAAACGCTTAACACAAAACAGCTGACACCCATGATATTTTTGATATTGAAAAAATGCCCAAATATTTCTAACCACGTGCATAATCTGAACCAAATGTGCCACAAACACTATTTTGGTTTGTGCAAAAACAAAACAACCTTCCCAGCTCTCACTTCGTAATTTTATACGATAAATGCCCTAAGATACATGAAAATGTGCATAATTTGAACAAAATGTACAAAAACCACACATCTTGGCTTGTGGAAAAAACACATATTATGGTATGTTACCACCACAGTAACAAAATATAAGTTACCTGCCAGAAAAACACCTCAAAATGCTGTAAAATATATAACCATTTATATAATTCGAACCACACTTACCAAAAACATTTTTATTTTGTGAAAAATCTGACAAACCAACCTCCTGGACCTGATTTCTTGCATTAAAAAAAGAACCAAAAAACACCTCAAAATGCTGTAAAGTATGTGTATAACTTGAAACAAACCCCCCCCCCCAAATAAAAACAATTATTAAAGTTGAAATTCATCGGCTCCCCCCTTCCTTGACTCCATTTACACTAATGAGTGGTGGCTTGGCTCTCAAGCCACCACCTCCTCCCCACGTGTGATGTTGCCTCCCAGTTCTCCTATCTAAACTCAGCAGGGATTGGCTTCATCGTTCACTCTAAATTAGCAATAGCATTTTTGTCAACACCCTTCTGTCTCTACTTGTGGCCCTATGACAGACTGGGGAACTGACCAGGATGTGCTTCACCCTCGCATCCCTGAAAAGGATTAAGTGATAGAAAATGAACACAGCTGTCCCTGTACCTCAGCAGACTCTGAGGAATTCTGTGTTGTAAAAACAGCTTTGCTCTGAGTGGTTCAAGGTCAGCGAGTCTCACCTTTACAGCTGAGTAAGAAGTACTGCATGTTGTTGCTGAATGAAACATCCATGTAGCCACACTTGAACTCACAAGACAGGCAACAGCGGTTGAATGGAGGGATTGTGTCGGCACTATGTCAAAAATCAACAACTTCAATAACACTAAAACAAATTAGAAAGACATGTTTTCCAAATTGTCCAATAACACTATACCTGTACAAGTGCCGTCGCTTCGGGTCATCCTCTGTGCTCAGAAAATATCTAAAAAAACATATCGTCATCAAATAACACATAAAAAACACTCACCAGTGCTTGTGTTAACCTTGATCTTTTTTTTTTTTCAAAAAACCACACATCTTACATAAGGTTCTTGTCAGGATTGTATGCCAGAATGCTGGTGATGTCCCAGTCTCCTGAGGTCAGAGACTGGAGGATGTCTGTGCTCACGTTAGGCTGATGAGGAACAACACAGAACAGCATGACAAACACAAAATATCATGGAAGTTTTCTTTTTCTGCAGCAACAACATCACAAAGTAAAACCATAGCAGGAGCCTGCAACCTTCACAACCAAAGAAGAAGAAAAAAAACATTTATTATAATTTTACCAGCTTTTACCAGCTATTATAATTTTACGAGTGCTGCAAAACACTTAAACCATTCAGGTGATTGACGTAGTGAAGCAACTGAAGCCTAAGCTCTGTAGTCATTCTAGATAGATTTATAAAGGACTACAGCATTATGTAATACAATCACTAAACAGATACCTATATTTCAGGCCTTTATTTTTTTTGGCCTCAAAGAATGCCAGACATATCATTACAAGTACAATTCAATATGAGGGTTAAGGTTAGATGATAACAATGAAATAAGTCAGTTTTACTCATTTATTTCCATTTATTCTTCTAGTATAAATTGCATATTCTCTGTAATGTTATTTTTCTGAATGTACTCGGCCACTGTTACAGCTACAGTGCATCATCTTATCAAATCCTCTTCTCCCTTTAATTCCCCTGTTATTATTCGCCTCCACAATTCTGTAGCTGATGGCACACTCACTCACTCACCAGTGATGTTGACATGGAGATGTGGAAAAACTTCCCTCTTCCACCCTGAGGTATGGCTCGAGTGAAGAAGAACCTGTGTCCATCATGGGAAAAGAGTGGCAGTTCATTCTGTGGAGAGGGATGAGGATAACAAAAACACAACTCTTTCATGAGTTTTTCTTCTTCATCCATTCCATATCTCCAGGCCCGCTGTATTTAGGCTGCATATGAAGCTACAGGGAGGCAGTGTTTTGACAACCCACCTGTCTGTGCAGCCAGCTGTCGCTCTCATCTTCAAGTTTCTACAACAAATATGAGAGCTGGTATTAAAACCTGGACACACAGAGTCTTAGTAGAAACAGGCTTTACTCTAAAGACTATGCTGCACATATTCTCACAGTCCAGGGAAGACACAGAGGCAAACCACTCTAATTGACACTGATCTGAGGTCAGGACACATGCTGGAACAATCAAAACCCATGGGCTGAGTCACTGGGAGAATATTTACAGTCTGAAACACAGAGCAAACTGTTGACTGGACTTAACACTTCGCTGTTCAAACTGTGGTTTAGAGTGCAGTAAATAAAACAAACATGGAAAGAAAAAAATGTGGACCATTCTATTCCCTTCTTTTCTTTTCAATTTTATTCCATTACTTTTGAGCAATCAAAGTTAACGGCGTAACTCATTATTAAGATGACTCAAATGAATATATTAAACCCGTGGGCTTACTGACACTCCCTGTTTATTCAATATTCAAGAAGACAGTTTTAAAGTTGCAACATTCTATGCATATCCCATAGGGAAGAAACACGAATAATTACAATTAATCATGATTAGTCTGCAGCTACCCTATAAAATTTCAGATTCCTAGTTTCCTAATCGTTGTTTATTCTATTAAGAAATTACAGAAACAACTATAGTAAATAATAAAAATTTTTTTTACATTCTCTCTTCTCTTCTACATCTTACATTCTAGTTCACATGCTGCCAGCACAGACACCTGGACCCATTTAAGGATCTGGCCCTGAAGCACATTGGCATCTAGACCAGCAGGCGTCTGACCGTCTGTTGGAAGTCACCCCACTCTATCTACTGAACCGCAGCTGCTCGCTGTGATAGTGTGCCACCAGCTTCACCTTAATGCAGACTCCAGTCGTGGCCTCACACAGTGTCAGGACGGAGTTGTTTTGGGCCCGGTTCAGCCAGTTCACAGCCAGTTTGGTGCTGGTGGCCCATGTCACCATCGTGATGTAATACTCCCTCCTGAATAAGCAGAGTGTGGAAATACATCAGCATCACTGTCAGTCTGTCTAAACAGACCACAAGGAATGGTTCCGGTGCTTATGTTTGTTGTTTTTTTTTTGTCCCCATCGTTCTGTCGCTCACCCAAGGCGTGGGTCATCGGGTTTCTTCATTACTACCGTGTGCAGGGGACCGTTAAGGCTCACCACTGACAACTGCACCACAGGGTTTTCCTCGCCAGCCTGCAGGGGCCAAGAGGAAATTCGATACTTGAGACTAGATTTCAGAACAACACAGTGAAGAGTGTCCTTTTTCCCAGTTTCGTCGATAGTTTGCACTGTACATAATCCAGTTATTAGAAAAAACGCATGTAATTTGCATTTTTGGGTGTCACTATACGGCAAAACAATTTCTTGAGCTTATACTTTATTGTATTTTATAATATTAAGACAACATTTAACCATATATCTTATGGGCTAATAATAAGTTAATAACAAATAAATTATGGAACAAATAGGTAAACAAGAACCACATTAACAACTTTGCTCTGTCACTGTTAGATTTTATATTTATACAGTATTTTTCCTACATTAATATCCTTATTCATGATTACCATCAGTTCATTTTTTTAACAACAATAACAAATTTCTTCCTAGTCATACCATATTTTATAATTTATTATGTGATTCAAACATGATGTAATCAGAGTCGATAACCTCTCTCTTCTCCCGCCCACTCTCTCCCTCTCCCCTTTTTTCCTCCCTCTGATTTTTGGGCTTTGACAAACACCAGGCAGAAAGTGATGCAGTTGATACAATGCAGTCTATCAAAAAAAAAATCCTGAGGAAATTACTAGAAATTCACTAGATTCATTAGGAATATTTATCACTTGTATTTTTTCTTTTCTGGCAGCATGTATCCACATAACTTTTTGTTGAAGTGAGGCATTTGTGGCAGAGTATATGATTAGACTTCTACCTTCAGTTTGTCTTTAATTATCTATCATAAATGCACACACTTTTCTGTGGTCAATTTCAAACTTTCCTTTGGATAAT